AAGTTTTAGGAGGGTTAAAAGATGAAGTGCATTGTCTACAACAAGTAAGACACTTATGGGTACATTCTATTAGATGCAATTTCGTTTACTTATCGAATTTGATACTGATAACGAATTTTAATCGTTTGTTTAACAACTGATTTGTTGTTTTTCGAAATGCCGTTAAGCTAAGGTTTACATACGTTTTCTGACATGCCATTTATGGCTTTTGTCAATTAACTGAAAGGCTCAAGTCTTTCTAACAATGAAGTCTATAGCGGCGAACAAGTTGGCGAATTTCTGAATACGGAATATTATGTAAAGAAGCAGTTTACGAGTGACGATAATTGTGTTTCACATTGTTCAGATATATATCATATATATCATGTTATTCACTATATATTATTCATCTAGTGGATTATTCGAATGCGAATATAATAACTACGCCAAGTCTTTTTTACTATAAATCTTGTTAGTATGTATAATTATAGTTTAGTTCCGTACTAATACTACTTTGATAATAGACCTAATCTGAAAACGATGAATTTGTCATGTAATTGCCCAATCTGTAAGACCTTACGTGAAAGTCGCATCGCTATCTTCACTGACTCCTCGTATCATGGTAATTAACAGTGATACTTAGTTCTTTTGAACAGCACATTTGGGATGGGTATAGAATAACATATTTAATACGAATGGTAGTACGTTACATATAATGACCACGTCTGCAAGTTTGGGTTATGCCATATGATTGAATAAATGTCTACACGTCCATTATTGCCGGCCCTCTTCAAGTGTTACACGTCAAATATACATCGTTTCAGTCATTATATGCTTGGTTTCGAAGACCATGTGGTCGAGAAACTTTGCTATTACGAGTGTACATTGGAATATACTGTCATAGCGAAGAGAGATATATACAGCTCAATATTTTACGATAACATATAATCTGGTGCAGTACTACAAGTTTTCGTAACAAAAGTAGTACTTATAAAGCAAACGCTTAGTTATTTCCAATTTTCACAAACACCAGTTAGGATTATCGGTATATCTTCCCATAAAACTACAAAGAAGACGAAAATAAAAGTTCAGCAAAACTTTATTGATGATCAGTACTACTGTTACAGGATGAGCAACATTTAATGCAGAAAAATCAGTTCACAAAAAGGATGTATAGTTAAGTTGAAAGTACTACTAAAAAGAACTTCTTACAATAAGCACTTCCTGTCACGTGTCAACACTTTTCTGTATTCCGATCCACATTTTCTATCGTAAAGAATACTATACAGAGACAAGTATTAGAGAAACTACAATCTTACCTGCTTGTTGATGTTCATTAGGCAAAAAGTTGCTTCCTTGATTCTGTAAATACTGCCTGCCTTGTCTGGGTAGTGATATTGTTTTTATTATGGAAGGATTGAGTGTTATCTATATTCCACCGACTTTATTATCCAGGAATATGGTGAACTTTACTGTTTATATTCAGTGATTGATCGAGGCTACCTCTAGGAGTTAGTTCTCTTATGTATGACGGTAGCATATGACGGCAAAGACACCGGCATGTAACAATTTATCCACAATCCACGTTGCATATGCTCGCAATTCTTTTTCTTCTAGGCAAGCAGAACAGGACAACTCCAGCCAAAATCATACTTTATAGCTAATGGCAATAACGAATATCTACAAGGTAGAAATGATGACAGTCTACTTTCGGCATGAATGTATTGAGTATGGATAGTATGAGAATAAAAGGAATATTCTACCCTACTTTCTGGAGTTTCTTCAGTACACTGTCGAATTCACTCTAGCTTCCGAAACGCCTTTTCAATATTATGCGTTGAAACTCCTTCCCTACGTCGACTAAAATATATTTTGAACATGAAGCACAACAAACAGCACTGGGTATGAAAAACAGGGAGATTGTGTGTTCTAGGCAGTACTGTCATGACCACTAAAATGACTGAACCCACCAGTAGATAACGGTAATTAACTTAACTGCATTATAACGTTTCAGAAGCCGTTTATTGAGGGGTTATAGTTAAATTAGTATACGTAAGAGGTAAAAATGTGTTAATGTACGCGTTTTAGACTCTGGTGAGCTTATACGAGATATTAAAAAAAAACAAAGTTACCTGCCGGTACGCATTAACTTTAAAATTACCAACAATATCTAGGTTTCTGAACACAATGTACCGAGTATACAAGACACTAGGATAATCTCAGTATAATACGTCATGCATATGGAATAATCACAAAAAACCTACCACCTGTGTAAAATTGTTACCAATTTCAGAGTTCACACTGTTGACGTAAGACATAGTAATACTTATGAATTCTATCCAATAATTATCAACACTTTAAATGGTTCGGAAACACTTCGATCGACAAAATTCGTTTATAGCATTTTAATCTTGTCTGTAAAGCGCGATCCTTTATGTAATGTTATTTGAAAATAGATTGTCATTAACAGTTTTATCGTTAGAGAAAGATGTACAGCCGATAAACTGGAAGATCAGCTACATTATCCTGAAATACAAGACTGAAGGCAAAGTGAATGTTGCTAGTCAGAAACTTTTGAATATTACTCTAGTCATTTCACAGATCATGAAAAGCGTTGTAAAACTGTATCTCTGATTAAACGCCTACTAAAAACCTTAACATTAAATCATAACACAGTCGCTTTACATATAGGCTGTGTATAAATTTTGGACTATAGTTTATTGATCACATTACCCAATATAAGTGACGTAAAATAGCTGGAGGTTTTAATTTCGATATCTCTGATTCATTCGGCTAAGTATCCCACAATATTTTATATCTTAAACAATATCCCGCTGAAATTCGCTATCTTACACACACTCAGGCTTAATGATTCCAAGGTGGTCGGCACCAGATTACCAAATTTGACTAAATGACATAGGATAATTTGTTGGGTTATGCATGAGACCGTTCTATTCGAAATATATGGACATTTGTAACTGCATTAACTTAACTAAAACTTCTCCATACGTTTAATACATGAAAGTGATGCATTCATGCCACATGGATGGAATATATGGCACTTATAATTTTATTAAGCAGAAATTCCATGTGTCAGGTGTACGGTTTAGAAAGTACTAACTTCGGTTAAATGTTAACAAATGTATCTGGTTTAATATCGGACACTTTAATGACATAAGGAAAGTACTGTCAATCAGATTGGATACATGTCAACTTATGGGGTGTACGATTGATAATATCCTCGGGCATAAGTCCGGCCCATCTTAAGTTGAAGTCTTTGTTCCTTCCCACTCGTTTGTATTTAGTATTCGTCGTATAAGTTCAAGTTGAAAATCGAATGAGTAAGGCGTCACTTCATAACAAAACCTAGGAGTGGCTTGTGATTAGAGAACCGTTGCAGGGTGTGATAGATTAACGCTTGATTTTCCATTTTACTTCAAACCCATTCACCGATTACAAAACGTTTTAAAATTCAGTGTTAGGCTTCGTCAAAGTGCGCAAACATAAACTAAGAAAACAAAATAGACTAGTTAAAACAGTGTCGTAGGTCAAAAGTTTGCCTACGTAAGTTTTTGGTCAGTTAAAATAGGCTGGCAGTTGAATTACGTGAAGCCGACACTGTAAATATATTGTTAATGAGTTGAACAGACTATCGGATGACTCCAAGAAACTAAATAAAACAACAGTGTACTCGAATTCTAACGCTGGATGCTATCCTCAGTTATAGTGACCTCCTGAGTCTACCTGAAGTTCCTAAATATCTAAATATGGTGCAGTACTCTGTTTGTACGTCACCAAGAATGTTAACCTTGAGCTGTTGTATCTGTTATCTTGAGAAACTACGTAAACACCATTACCAGCTATACGTAACACAAATCCGAAACACGTGGCATCAGTGCTTGTGAATTTTTAACAACTATATAGCTTTTGAAACACTTGATGAAGTGTTTATTCGACTATTGTAGGTTGTTTAGTTTTATGTAGCTAAATAAAAGTTCTGTGTTGCTTTGGTGCTTCATACCTATGGTTAATGGTAGTACTAGTGCGTCAGCTAGTTTTAATACAACCTCTGTAAACTCCGATGTCCTTTTTGACCAAATGCTCTTAAGTTGTGGAGAATTTTAACATGGCTGCTGTGATTTTCATTTGCTGAGCGAAGCTATGTTTTCGTAAATGCACATGATGCACAATCACTACACCTATCTGTGAAGTAAAGGATATAACATTGTACATCTGAAATGCACAAGTGTTTTATTTTAGAATTCACATTCGATGTCAAGAGACATCGCGAATTGCTAAGCTTACTGAAAAACAATGTAGGTGAATGTACGCTGGTTGTGAGTCTGTGCTTTGAGTAGCTTCGTCTTTTAAAATGGTACTAAACCATCCATGCCTTCCAAGATTTATGGTTAGTAATCCGTTGAATAGATTATGAGATGAATAGAAGTAAAGCGTAGCTTCTCCAAAATAATAAATATCGGTATTGAGCAGTGTAGTCTAATGTGTTAAAAATCGTTTTCACAAAAACGTCCACAATGTAAGCTTTAGGACCACTAACAGTAAATGTAAAACTCAATATTACTAAAATGGCCGTCCGCAATCTGATACCCATTTTGTTTCAACTTTTGTTTCTCAGCTCTTCACAAGACCAGAATCCTTTAATAAACCTCAACAAACTTCTTGCAAAAACATATGGTATTCTATATTTGTGGAAACAGACATAAAAAACTCCAAAATTTGATTTATAATGGACTATGAAAATTGGTAGACCAAACATTAGCTAATATCATTTTTACCCAAAGATGAAGTAAATCGACAGGCATATTAGCAGCCTGCAACTACTCTTCAGATTATGAAACATACGCTTACACAAAAGGCCGTCCAAAAGTTACGAATTATTTACTTTTGTTAAGTACAACTAATTATTATTTGTTGGATTAGGCCAACCTTTAACAACAGGCAAATAGACCAATCAAAATTACACCATATTGCGGACGAAAACAAAGTGTTCACAACAGACGATGGGAGACTTTAAGAAAGTAGGCTACTTTTGCTTAATTTTATTTTTCAGGGTGACATTGTGACGTTTGTAGATCAGGGTTCTCAGTCATTCGGAGAAATATTGTCAGTGAGAAAAGATGATTGCGACGTGAAAATACTAGTTGATAAAGAGGTAGTTTACCGTATAATGCATTGAATTATCTTTCAAGGAAAGAGTTATGCGAGTTCTGCGTTCTCGGATGCAAAAAAGTGCTAAGATTATTGCTGAGGATATGGATAATATGGTGAACCTGCCGTAGGTTACTTTTTTAAATTTTTGGAAAACGTTTGTAGAAATATGTCGGCGATTTCTATGTTAGAAACCCTTAAACTACGTTACTCGCGATCAAAAATTTATGTAATCTGCTATTTTCTTAGTTTGCTTTTTAGACATATATTGGAAATATAGTTGTTTCTGTAAATCCATATAAGGATCTATTAATTGATGGACCAGAAGTAATGGTGAAGTATTTTAATCGAATGCTTACAAGTGTTCCAGCGTAAGATTAGATTTATCATCTGAGCCTTTAGGCATTTATACGGACTTGCAGAAACGTTATATCAGACTGCCTTAAGAAATGAATGCGACCAGATTGTTGTCATAAGGTTTGTTATTAGTTCATTTCATCTGTTAGTTTTTCTCACAAAAAGCATGATAAATAGCCGCCGTTAATTGAGGCTCTGATATATTTATATATACTCTCTAATAATATTTACCACCATAAGGAACATGAAGCCTCAGGAAATAGTTACCCGTTTTCTGTCGTCATATTTTATAATTGACTCTAGCTGGGAAGAATATCTGTGTATTTTCTCCATCCGTTCTGTGTGTGCAGTTTTGGCGTCAGTTTAGGACAAATAAAGAGCTGGTTGGCCTATATTAGTCTGATGCAGCTTTCTCAGAGCGTTGACTCAAGTTTCATCGTGTTTTGAGTAAAGGGTAGTTGATGATTTGACTAGAAATTGACAGATAGCAAATAAGTGAACATGAATTAATGAAAATGTCTGAACTGTCCTTGTAAACTGTTTGCTCTGGAAGATAATGAATTTGAAGAGACGTTGTTTGCAAATTAATACTACGGTATTTGAAGATCGTGATTATGTTACATTTAACATTTCTGCATAACAAGAATGATGAGTTTGGGTCAGAAAATCTGTTATCTTACGATAGATTTGAGGTTCTCAGGTGTGATAGGTTTTTCAAATCATTTCTGACATTTCACTGTCGTTCCCTTAGTTTGTTTGCATGTATTCACTACTCCAGTTTTGGCTGGACGAACGTCATGCACAATGCTAGAATTGTGTTGACACGTATTTGAAGACTACCTACTGACTAAAGGGTTCTAAAAATTTCCACAGGTGTTGAATATGAGTGTGCGAAGTCTTTGTTAAGAGTGGCTTATAACAAAATTGATTATGATAGAAGACTAGGAAAGTCGAATCCAGGATCTATCGGTCTTGCGCCTCTGAGGAGTCCCGTAATAGAACGGAATGGCCGTCATATGCTTCCAGGTTTTCATGGTGGTTTAACTTCGATTGACTCATCAACCCAACCATTAAAATTACTATAGTATCAAAAAACCCCTTCTGATACTTGAAGAGTCATTAACATATCTGAGAAATAACGAGTCTTCGAATGTACACACTTGTTGTTGAATTTCATAAAACCCTTTTTTTACCGTTAACTATCTAGGATAAAACAATAAAACGTTTTGAAATAAAATATGTTGCAATGAAACCTTGTTACGATACTAAAAACACGACTTTTCAAGCGTTTCGAAAGTATTTTCTCTACTTCAATTTCTCTTACGAAAAAACTAAGGATTCATGTCCTGAATTATCGTGGTAAGGAATAAACTTGTATTCTTTACGACTGACAATTAATTTAGTTTCTTTTGCATATTTTAACATATATGAGTACATTTTTACTAACTTTGAAACATATTTCTTATTAGTGGTGAATCTGGCTCAGGAAAAACCGAAGCTTTTAAAAGAATCACTCAGTATCTTGCATGTACAAGTGAGCAAGGTAAAAACAGCCTGAGTTCAGTGGCCAGGCGAGTTTTGGAAAGTACTCCTATTCTTGAAAGTTTTGGGAACGCTACAACTGTTCGAAATGATAATTCCTCAAGATTTGGCAAGCTGGTGGAAATATTCTTTGCAAAGTATGCTTCAAGTTAGTGTGTGCTGTTATCATTTTTTATTGTTGCTTTTAATATTCATTCACTTAGTGGTGTCAGACTACAGCCGGTTTAGTCTAAGTAAATTACACATTGTTTTTAGAGCGTCATAAATGTAATAAACATGGTTGATTGATATTTATTTTACAGTATAGACTGTTGACCATGCGAAACTTTATTAAGTATATATTTCAGTCTAATGTTACTTAAAAGGAACTAACAATTCTTTCCCAACGATTTTACTTCTAAGTTACCAAAATACTACGTCTGGTTTGCTATTTCACCATCTATAAATATTCAGATTCAGATGACGCAGTATATTGTAAATTTTTATACGTCATTTAAAATTATTATTGTTTTAATGAGTTGTGGGAAATATATATATTGATGTTTGGTAATCATCTACTCTAATTCAACTGATCTTAAAGCTGAACGAATATTTGCTCAAATAAAGACTCAATCAAATATATCAGTTGCATATGTGGTGTTCAGTTTTGCTGCATTTGTGAATTACCTAAGTGATCTCTAGTTCTGAAAATGTTGAACCGATTTTTATATATATTTCTGTTAAAAATTTTGTAAAACAACTGAAGCAACTCATAAGGGTTTACATAAAAGCTATTTGGAAAATGACTAGTTGATCGTTTAAACAAAGATGTTTTACAAACCATGCCAAAATCACGAACTCGGATGTAAAAATACGTTTCATCATGTTAGTTCAACAGCTATTCACAATGTACCAACTGGTGAGTGAAAACTACTTTCATACTTGTAACAGCATGTAAATAATCAAACCTCATTATAATCATTTAAAATAAAAAAAACCTATAAATTCATCAATCCACTATTCACACACTTTTAAGCGAAGTTCATAGTTCATCTGTAAAACAGATATCTATGTTATATCAAATCACTTGAAGCACATTAACTAACTTAGAATTTGTATAGTAACAAGAGGCAAAATGCTTTTTAGTAGTTATTTTATGCACTGTCGATCAACGCAAATAACGTTTTGGAGTAGAGTTATTACAAGTTTGCAAGTTTTCTTGTTTATTTTCAGAGTTTACATGTCAATAGTGAGAGACATCGCTAAGCAATAAATTTTATGTTGTACTTGATCATTTAAGAATACTCCAAAGTTGGGCTATTAAAGCATGCTATTTGTTATTACCTGTCTATTTGTGGTTAACAAATATTATTCCTGATTTATTCAACTGCCTGCTAAGCTTTTATAAGGTTTCCTATCTTCACTGTGACATAAACAGATATTTCAGTTTATTACATATACAAAGTAACTTTTTATCCTTACCTAAGTTATTAGCTGTAGTAGAACTTCAGTGATAAAACTTTTACGGCAGCCAACTTAGAAAAAACTACCTGTTTTGAGGTTGCTTGTCCATCAATACTAATATTTCATAAAATTACTTCATGGATAATAAATAATTGTATTCAAGGTTGCCGATTGTTATGGTTTATGGTTTATTTTGATTTGCTTGTTTCCTGGTAAATATGTACAGTGTAAAAAGTTTAGTAACGCCTTGTTGTCAGTTTTCTGTTTTCTGTCACACCACCACGCATTTCAATCTTCAGTAGTGTGCTTATATAACAGATAAACTAAGATTGTCTTTTGTGTTTGGGGGTTCACCTCAGTAAACGTTTTCTAAACGACTTCACATTAGTGTCATTATTTTAACTACACTGTTATATATTTTTGTTCATTCTTCCTACAAATTCTATTAAATAGGTTAACAACAGCTATCTAATAACCGCATGTTAATTATTTAAAATGTTAATGATGGGTTAAATAAATTATGTTGTTTACGCAAGTAATGTAATATTAGACATCCTGATTCAACTGTCGACTGCTCATTGAAATTGGTTTCGATATATATAATTATAATAGACGTGTGCTGAATAATTTCTTAAATGCTTCAATACGCAAAAATAGTCGTTTTTTAGCATCGTTATGAACGAAAACTTTTAAAACCAGGCAACAGGGCATGAAATTTTAATGAACGATTAATAACAATAGTGATTGTTAGCAATACATGTGTATGGTGGTAGACAGATGTGTAAAACTTTGTGCTGACAGCGTATACATGGTAGGAAAATTATATTTTCTTTTTTTCTATCTAACATTAAACGATGAAGAATAAGCATTACAAAAAGAAAAAATAATAGCACCAGGAACTGTAATAACTAGAATCAAGGTGAAAGAAAAGCTAAGAAAGGTAGTAAATAACAAAATGTGAAATGTCGTTATACCACATTCTAGTTAAATGATCTCATGAGAGACTGATTTTTGCAATGTTGAATGGGAGCATTATTAACTTTAAAATAACATCTATGAAGGTTGAAATTATCTCTGAATAATATTATTAGGTGCAGCCTTCACAGTCAGTTGTATTTCCTATACTACAGTACTTGATATTTATATCTTTTGTTGCTTTGTGTTAAAACAAACATCACAATACCATCGAACTTTGAATCAGTATTCTCAAAATTTAACTATGAACTAATCTATAATTATTTCATTACTATTATATCATTTAGTAAATTATAGATCTTATGACTGTTGGACTTAAGTCTAAGTAGAACTGTTCTATCATTAGCCTTCACAAAATAGATCTTGCAAGTAGATTTGAAATTGACAGCTTAGTTCCATCACATTTTCAGGCACCTTTTTGAACCATGATTATTAAACACATTATTTCGGACTACGCAAATCATATATATTTAGCATGCTTATTCTAGTTACATCATAATTAATTAATTAATATCTCTGAATCGATTGTCATTTTTTCATTTCAACAGTGTTGTAGATTTCATGTATTTTAAGACAATTTGCATCTTTGTTTACGATTTGTTTAGGTCAATAATTATTGGAGCGAAAATCACTAATTTCTTACTTGAGAAATCTAGAATAGTGGGACAAGTGAGAGACAAAAATTTTATGCTCTTTTTTCGTATTCTTCTAGTTTTCTAGTAGTTTTACATTTTCCCAAAACTGGAGAGTTTGGTTGTAAATCTTTGTCATCATTAGTTTAAAGGAAATCATGATTTTGGTGATTACATTTACTATTATTATCATCATCAACTATTTTGAGACGTGTTACAATTTTTTCTTTGTATATTTCTTATGATGTGGTCAGTTGGTTTACTAAAATTATTGATATGATTTAGGTGGTTGAAATATTCGTTTAGTGACGGGATCGATCCCTAAATATATATTTTAGAAGATGAAACCATAGACCAGATGATTAGCTGTTTAGTTTATATACTAATAAATGAAAGCTACTACTTTTATTCAAGATCACGTGTGAAAATGAGTTACTTACCAACCAACAAATTAGTTATAAAGAGCGAACAAAAACGTTGCAAAAGAGACCAATAACCGCTCGTTCCAGGTCATCGCAGCAGTACAAGTAAATTTGGCATTTGGGAATTAATCTGGTTTCTTATTTTTTATTGATAATTGATGGCCCCAAGCGGTAGTCTATTCCTAAAGTAACTACATATCAGATAACTATAAAGGAAGACAATTCGTAACTCAGCTTCATATTTAGTATTTTAACGTCTTTACTGTAATCGCATCCAATTCAACGTTTATCAATAAAATCTCTATTATCCCATAAAATGTTTATATTACCTTATGTTACAGTCGAATATTAGTTTTACATATAAAACAATTTTCCATTGTTAAACAAAAATTTACACGGAAGGAAATACAAATTAGATTTCAATTTTTTCTTTACACATATTTCTTGTGTTCATGCAAACTACATAATTTTTTTTCCCGAGCCTCAATAATTATATATACATACTTTATTAACAACTATATTTGTTGATTATTAACAGTCTGAAAAAGAACGTAACTATCATGTGTTCTATGAACTATTAAGTTCACTTGATAATGAGAGTAAGGCAAAACATCATCTTAAAAATGTTGAAGATTATCAATATTTAATGAAAGTAAGTTAATAATCTATTAATGTGTATTTTGCTTATTATTGTCTCGATTACTATATTATATTTAACATTAGCAACATTAAATGCATTACAATAGAAAAAATGTGATTATTGCATTACCTTTCATGTAAATCTTTAATTTCTTGTTTAGTTGAAGGTCACAGTGAAAATAAAATCATCTTAGTCGCAAATCGACTCATAAGACATTATTCTTCTCTATGAAGAAAAACTGTTTATTTGGGTATTTAAAATACGCTCAAGTAAACAATTTAGCCCCTGTACACTTCGATAAAACACTCTCAATACCAAGTCTATTTTCAGATTAGAATACATACATTAATTTGAAAATTAATTGATTCAGTAATGAATAACTAACCATCATAATTCGAAATTAATTTTAGAATAAGTTTCCTGGTATTTTAGAACGTCTCATGATGGAAAAGTTCATGTTTGTGAATTTGTCAATCAACATGAAATTGAATTTTTATAATAAACGATCATTAAAAAACAACTGACTGCAATTCATTAATAAGATATCAGATATCTCTTGGTATTACCATGTATTTTAAAGCACACGCTATTCCACCTTATTTTAATATATGGAGGAACATCTATGACAGCCTTTCGAAATACAGATTTTTATACCTATGGATTCAAAGAAAGTCTTAGTCTTGCCTATAACAAGAGCAGCACATTAAATGTTTACGTAATTGTATCGCTATATCAATAAATTACTTGGATCTTTCAATTAGTTCCCTCATATACTAGCCTGCTTTTTCATATTGACAATACGTTTTGTCATTTTGGTATTTGATAATCACCTTTTATTGATTAACTAGCGTACTTTAATCCTTAGTTGGGAAAACAAAGATTCAAATTAGAAGATAATTATGCATATTCGTATTTTTTAATTCTACAGGATTCAAGACGTGCATTTAGTACACATTCTGATCCTGACGGTTTATCAATGTTACTTGAAAGTTGGCAAACATTAGGACTTCCACAAGATGAAATGGATTTATGTCTTCGTGTAATATCTGCTGTATTGCATCTTGGAAATATAACTTTTAAAAGTGATAATGATAAGGTTGGTCTTGCACAGTTTATACTATTGAATGTAGAAAATGAACTTACCGATTTTAGTGAACTTGTTTTTAAAATATGCTCTAGTTATTTTGTTACATCAACTAAAGTTTATAAAATTGATTTATAATTTGGAAAAAGATTATACAAATTTTAAAGATGAGTAAATGCATTAGTTTACTAGTGTATACTCAACGTATTTTAACTTGTCTCTAAGCTATTGTATGAAGTGATTTAGAAGTCCAGATGGGATCTGCTTAGCCTATGTTGAGTTTAAGGTGAGAAATAAGCGTTAGTTGATAGGTTTGCGAACTTTTATTGAATGAAGTATATTATATAAGTACATTAAACTTGTTGGACTGTATGACAATTAGTAGAGATTACGGATGTATACTAGAGTGATTAATAGAGCGCTAATTGTGTATTAGATGAACTAAAAGTTTTGTAAACTGAACTTAATAACAGAATTAATATGAATTCCAAACACTTAAAATAATGACATTAGTGACTGGAGTAAACAGTAATAGTAAACTATGTAATCAATCTCACTGTAAACTATACTTTATGCAATTTTTTTACTTTTTACATTGACTATTTTTAAAAGTTTCAATCACGAAAAGTATTTCATATATGACACGGTGGGCTGTAATTCTACTAACTAGTATCGATTAGAAACAGTAATTCATTCGTCTGGTCCAAAATCGGAACACGAATTGAAAGCAAATCAAAGAAGATACAATAGTAAAAACATAAGAGTTTATGTAAAACTTATGATTCGCCTAGGATCTTTCTAATTCATTCACTAGCCCTGGTTGTTTTAAAAATGGAATTCGACAAGTCAACTACACTGTTACTGGAAGTTATGAAAGTGTTAAAGTTGTCTACTAATAATAGGCCCTGGACAGAATATAGTATAAAGTTGATAAACAAACGCTCAAACTCAATCTGTGAACAAATTTAAGAACAGTTTTGAAAGAATGGGTCTGATCAAGATTCAGTTAAGACTCACTATTATACCGATTACCAAGGTAGCGAACAGTGGTTGTACAACCTAAACTTTGCACTCAAAATTTTACACAACTACTCGTCTCTACCTTGGCCATAAATGTAGGAGTAAATTTTAGCTGAACTTCTATTTAACCCATTTCTCAAAAATGTTCAAATAATTTTCTAATTTCCTTTACTTTTGTATTTTTACGTATTCTCAACATTCTTCTCTTGGTTTCTATATAAGTGCCAAAATTAAAAATATAATTATGAACTGAAGTACTTAAAGAAATCAGTCCAATGTTTAAGGAAAGTAGTTACTTGTCTCACAAAAGCGATTTAATCAAATGGTTAATTATGTAATGGGAAAAAGTGCATTACAAACAAATGAATAATAATCATTACAAATAAAGAAACACAATTACAAATATCATTTACTTTTATAATTCTCATATCTTTTAAAGGTTTCCTTTATTTATTAATTAATTTTGTTGTTTATAGTTTGATGATCCCAATGTAATTCATTATTTTTCATCCATTCTTTTTTTGTTAGGATAACACATTTATTACAAATCCATTCGTTGCTGAAATCGCGGCTTCAGAGCTTGGTGTAGATTTGACTGAATTAGCTAAAGTGATAACAATGAAGTTAACAGTAAGAATTATGCTATCGTTTAAATCATGTACAGTCTGATTATCATGTTGTAGAAAAATTTTAGAATTTCTATAAATTTCTGTAGTCCAAAACCATTGTTTTATTATTTTCTTAACTGTATAGTATTATCACTATACATTACCGGAATTATGGTCAATTGTATGCTTGAAAAAAAGATACATTTTTCTACCTTCTTGATATTATTGTACAGGTTGAACAGAGGGCTGATGACTAGATTATTCTGAGATATTGTATCACCAAATATAATGAAATTTTAGTGCTGCCCATTGTAAAATAGTTCCTTTTAGCTACCATACAATCCCACTTGTAATAAATATCCCCAATATATGTGTTTATATTTAATATGATATGCAAATATGTAAGCTACTTAAAATATTCAAAAAATAACAACTTAACAGCATCGAATGGATAGCTCTGTCGAAGCGATCCGAACAGGATACACGTATGTCAATAAGGATCTATTAAAATCCAGCCAAGATTATTAACAGCGGGTTGACACAAATCCTTTCTAATAATGATTTAAGTTTAGTTACATATTTACAACTTACTTAAACTTACGCCTGTTACTCCTAATGGAACAAAGGCCGTCGACCAGCATTCTCCAACCCACTCTGTCCCGAGCCTTCTTTTCTCGTTCCATCCAATTCTTGTTCATTTTTCTCATGTCTATCTCCATTTCCCGGCGTAATGTGTTCTTTGGTCTTCCTCTTCTCTCAGGATTCCATGTGAGGGCTTGTCTTGTGACGCAGTTAGGTGCTTTCCTCAATATGTATTCTATCCACTTCCAACGCTTCTTCCTGATTTCTTCCTCCACTGGGATCTGCTTTGTTCTCGCCCACAGTTGGTTGTTGTTCATAGTGTCTGGCCAACGGATCCGAAGTATTTTGCGTAGACAACTGTTAATAAACACCTGTATTTTCTGGATGATGGCTTTCGTAGTTCTCCAGGTTTCCGCACCATACAGTAGAACTGTCTTGACATTTGTATTGAAAATCCTGACCTTGGTGTTGGTTGACAGTTGCTTTGAGTTCCAGATGTTCCTCAGTTGTAAATATGCTGCTCTTGCTTTACCGATACGCACTTTCACATCTGCATCAGATCCACCCTGTTCATCAATGATGCTGCCCAAATATGTAAAGGTTTTCACATCTTCCAAATCTTCTCCGTCAATTGTGATTGGATTGGTGCATGCTGTGTTGTATCGGGGAATCTTGCTTTTCCCTTTGTGTATATTGAGACCTACTGCTGCTGAGGTTGCTGCTACACTGTTCGTCTTCTCCTGCATTTGTTGTTGCGTTTGGGATAGAAGGGCCAGATCATCTGCGAAGTCTAGATCGTCCAACTGCATCCTAGATGTCCATTGAATCACGTGTTTTCCTTCAGATGTTGATGTATTCATGATCCAGTCGATCACCAGGAGAAAGAGAAACGGTAAGAGTAAGCAACCCTGCCTAACACCGATCTTCAATTCGAACGACTTTGTCAACTGTCCTCCATACATGATTTTGCAGTGTAATCCATCATAGGAATTCTGTATGATATTGACTATCTTCTGAGGCACGCCGTAGTGTCGAAGAAGTTTCCATAGTGTTGTTCTGTCCACGCTGTCAAATGCCTTTTCGTAGTCAATGAAGTTGATGTAGAGTGATGAATTCCACTCAATTGATTGTTCCACAATGATCCGTAGAGTTGCAATTTGGTCTGTACACGATCTATCCTTATGGAATCCTGCCTGTTGGTCACGAAGTTGGGCGTCTACGCAGTCCTTCATCCTGTTTAACAATACCCTGTTGAAGACTTTTCCCGGTATTGAGAGAAGAGTGATGCCCCTGTAGTTATCACACTTGCTGAGATCGCTTTTCTTCGGTATTTTGATCAGAAGTCCTTCTTTCCAGTCTGCTGGTACTTGTTCCTCATCCCAAATCTTATTGAAGAGAATGTGGAGTATCCTTGCAGTTGCCTCTACGTCTGCTTTTAGTGCCTCTGCTGGAATGTTGTCTGGTCCTGCTGCTTTACCACTCTTGATTTGCCTGATGGCCATGCTTATCTCTTCAATTGTTGGTGGGCCAACATCGATTGGGAGGTCCGTGGGTGCTGCTTCGATGTTGGATGGGTTCAGTGGGGCTGGTCGATTCAAGAGTTCATTGAAGTGTTCTACCCACCTGTTTCGTTGCTGTTCAATGTTGGTGATTACCTCACCTTCCTTACTTTTCACTGGTCGTTCTGGTTTGCGGCGATTTCCAGAGAGTTTCTTTGTCGTGTCATACAATTGTCTCATGTTTCCTTCTCTTGCAGCCTTTTCCGCCGTCGTTGCTAAATCTTCCACATATTTACGTTTGTCGGTTCTGATGCTCCTCTTCACTTGTTTGTTTACTTCTGTGTATTCAGCTTGTGCCTTGGCTTTTCCTGCTCTTGTTCGACTGGTATTGATTGCTGCCTTCTTGTTCCTCCTTTCTTGAATCCTATCCAATGTATCAACAGTGATCCATTCCTTGTGATGGTGCTTCTTGTGGCCCAGGACCTCATGATGTGTTGAAGTGATTGTCTCTTTGATCCCCTTTCAGTTGCTTCCCATAGTAGTTCCTTCTCCATTGAGTAGATCATGAAAGGCCTGGAACTTATTGCTGAGGACTATCTTGAATTTGTTGAGTTTGTCAGTATCCTGAAGAAAGGCCGTATTAAACTTCTGTGATGTTGTCCGCCACGTTGTGCAGTGCTTCTTGAGTTTCAATTTCATCTTGGCGACCAGCAAGTGATGATCTGATGCTATATCAGCTCCTCTCTTGGTTCTCACATTTTCCATCGTCCTCCTGAACTTTTTGTTGATGCAGATATGGTCGATTTGGTTCTGCATAGTGTGATCCGGTGAAGTCCATGTGGCTTTGTGAATGCGTTTATGTGGGAATATGGTGCCGCCTATGACCAGTTTATTGAAGGCACATAGGTTTGCAAATCTCTCACCATTTTCGTTCCTTTCTCCTAGTCCGTGTTGTCCCATGACGCCTCCATATCCAGTGTTGTCCGTTCCAACCTTGGCATTGAAATCTCCCATCAGAATGGTCAGGTCCTTTGTTGGGCACTTCTCGACGATTGACTGCAGCCTATTGTAGAATTGATCTTTAGCGTCTTCATTGTAGTCGTTGGTAGGCGCATAGCATTGGATGATGTTCATTGAAATGCCGTCTTTCTTTGTTTTGAAGGAGGCTTTGATGATCCTTGGTCCATGAGAATCCCATCCTATAAGTGCGTTTTGTGCTAGTTTGGACAACATCAATGCAAGTCCTTGTGTATGTGGAGCGTTTTCTTCTTCATGGCCGGAGTATAACAGGAGTTCTCCTGAAGTTAGTCGTTGTTGTCCAACTTGCGTCCAGTGTGTTTCACTGATCCCAAGCACCTCTAGGTTGTATCTCCTCATTTCTGCAGCGATTTGAAAGGCTCTCCCGGTGTCCCACATTGTACGAACATTCCATATACCTAAATATTTACAACTAGTGATATTTTATTAAATTAAATTCATTTATATGAGGATGTTTTTTTAAAGCTTCAGTGGATTTTATGTAGTAAATACTTGCAATTTTGTTCATTAATAAATAATACTTTTGATTTATATTTAAACTTATTTTTCTTTTAACAATTTCCGTTCAGGAAACATCTATTGACAAACTTTGGAGTCCGGTTAACGTTGCTGGTGCAATTGTAAATCGTGATTCTATTGCGAAAAGTTTATATGCAGAATTTTTCGATAGATTAGTGGAGAAGATCAATATGAAAAACGCACCTCCGGATTATATGGATTCAGACACAAAATCATCACTACGTGCAATCGCTTTATTGGATATTTATGGTTTTGAAGTAATTTTTGGTATTGATTTGGAATTGATGCTTTTCAATTTCAGACTTATTCAATTAAATACTTTTTATACAATTTTTGCTTATTTGTTCGATGGGTGCTTTGCTTATATGTTTTATTGTTAGATATATTTTTCTTCATCATCGTTTAATGAATTTTGAGTTTGATTTAAAGGCTGTAACGAAATAAGTGGTAACGATAGAATGTTGTCAATCTTTGTTTCATACATTTACAACAATCACGGTTGTAACCATTCTTATGATCTACCTAGTGTGTTGCTTATTGAAAGTATTGTTTCTTTTAAATATTTTTTGTCGAATGCATCGATCACTTGTGGAGCCTAACAATCAAGGTGATGTCCAGTCGAAGTTTTTTTCTGATAGTTATAAGACAGTGAAATCCTTTCACTAAAACAATTATTTTAAAGCTTCTTCAGATAATTTTTGGAAATATTATAAACAAAGGAGTAAACAGAAATTTAATGAAGTTTATTGTGATGATTGTATGTTGTACATTTTGATGGTGTAATTGCATGAATTGAGGTTACCGGACATTTCTCCATTGATTTATTTCCGAATGTTTCTGGGATCTGGTGGTTTATGTTAAAATCACATACTTTACTTACGTTTGTAACCCCTCATGGAGAAGCATAGGCTGGCCACCAGGATTCTCCATCGAACTTGTCCGGGGCAATCATTTCCAGTTGTTTCCGAATGCTATTTATTCTTTTGATACATGCCCTTCTTGGTCTACCTCTTTTTTCTTCCCTTCTGGACTCCAAGTTAGGGCATGCCTCGTGATGCAATTTGTTGATTTCCGCAATACATATCCTATCCACCTTTAATGTCCTTCCTGTTTTTTTCTTCGACTGGAAGTTAGTTTGTTCTCTCACACAGTGGGTTGTTGCTGTTGGCATCCGGTCAACGGATCTAGAGTATCTTGCGTAGCCAACTATTTATAAATATCTGTACCTTTTTGATGATAGTTATAGTGGTTGTCCAAGTTTCCTCTCCGTACAGTTAAAACAGTATTGACTTTCGTGTTGAAAATCCTGACCTTGATATTGGCTGACAGTTGTTTTGTGTTCCATACGTTCTTCAATTATAAGAATCTTGCTCTTACACTATCAATCTGTTGCTTCATATCTGCATCAAATCCTCCTTGCTTATTAATGATGCAGCCCAAGTATATAAAACTTTTCACCTCTACATAAAAGCAGAACCTAAAGAAAATGTAATAGAAGTTAAGCCTTTCATTAAAATTTGTACACATAAAACAGTCCATTGAGTATACTATAGGCCTGTCAACCAATAAATATCTGCTAGTGAATGGCAAAATAGGTAACCATAATAAATCTAAGTTAGTTCGAGTTGATAAATTATCAGTAAGCACTCTCCTACTTTATCAGAAAGGTTATTAAGAAACTACATTGTAACACCTTCTATACGAAGCAAGTTACACTCAAATTTTTCAGCTAGTTATTAACCTTAAAAAAACTTTAATTTCGGTCAATGAACTGTCAATAAGGTTGCGTAAAGTCCTCCAATCCACACTGTCAAATGCTTTCTCGTGCTCAAGAAACTTTATGTTTAGTGACGAGTTTCATTCAAGTCATTGTTCAACAATGATCCGTAGTTTCGTGATTTCGTCTGTGCATAACCAATACTTAAGGAATCCAGCCTGTTGTTCTCGAAGTTAGGCTTCTATTGAATCTTTCATCCGGTTCAGCAACACCGTTGAAAAACGTCCCTGGTATCAATAGTAGATTGATGCTTCTATAGTTTTCACATTTGCTCAGATCTCCTTTCTTTGTCCTTGACTGGTCTCTCTGGTTTACTATATTTCCCTATCAGTTTCTTCGTCGTGTCATTTAGTTGTCTCATATTTCCTTCACTTGTTGGTTTTTCCTTTGCCGTTGCTAGTTCTTTCACGTATTTATTTTTGTCATCCCTAATGCTCCTCTTCATTTGCTTGTTTGCTTCCGTGTATTCAGTTCGTGCCTTGACTTTGTCTGTTGTTGTTCGCCTGTTGATAATTGCTATCCTCTTGTTCTTCCTTTCTTGAATTCATTGAGTTGGTCGTAATCTCTAAAGAAGGCTGTATTGAACCTGTGTAATGCTGTTTTCTGAGTTGTTCAGTGCTTCTTTGGTTTCAGATTGATCTTGGCAACCACCAGGTGGTGATTCGAAGCTGTGTTGGCACCTCTTTTCGTTCTCACGGCTTCTACTGACCTTTTGAATTTTGTATTGATGCAAATATGATTGATCTGGTTCTCTGTAGTTTGTTCCGATGAGACCCATATAGCTTTGTGTGTGTGTGTGTGCACACAGATTTTCAAATCTCTCTCGATTGTCGTTCCTTTTTCCCAGTCAGTCAAAGTCACCCCATGATATCTCTATAACCGTTGTTGTCCATTCCGAATTAAGTGTTTAAATCTGCCATCAGGATGGTCAGTTCCTTTCCTAAGCACTTTGCTATGATTAATTGCAGCCTCCCATAAAACTGATTTTTATCATCGTCATTGCTATCATTGGTGTTTGCATAAAATTGGATAACATTTATTGTGATTCCCTCTTTTTTTTGTTGTGAAGAATGATTTGATAATTCTGGATGCATAAGATTCTCATCCTGTAGGTGCTTTACGTGCTTTTTTGGACAGCATCAGAGCAACTCCTTGAGTGTGCGGAGCATTTTCCTCTTCGTGACTAGAGTGCAGCAGCATCTCTTCTAAGTCTAACCCTTTGTGTCCAGCTTGGGTTCAATGGATTTCACTTATTTCGAGAACCACCAAGTTGTATCTTCATTTCTGAAGCTTTTTGACTGGTCTCCTCGGCTTCCAACATTTTCCGGACACTTCATGTACATATCAAAATTGTTGCTTTCGTTATTAGAAGGGGCACCGGTCTTGTGACTTACAAAAAATCTCAATTTTCACCATGTTGCATCACAATTCTTCTGAACGAAGATCGTTCAACTAGGGGGAAGAGTTTAGATTGTTTATTCTGTTTAGGAATTTTTCAGCAATGTTGTTTCCCACGGGATGGGATTGCTGACCTCATTCTTAACCCTTCTTCTGTTCGAACTTGGGGTCAGGTGTAAACCTGGAAGGCCTAGGGGTGGAGTTATGTTAAAATTAACTGTTTGTAAATAATCAAACAGAAATAATTAACAATATCTTTGTCTCGTTTATCAAACCTGTTACTTTTGTCCTAATTAGTACATCATTTTGATGACGTCTAGAAACCTCACAATCATTCAAATATATCCGGATTAACGTTAGATGTTTTTGTCGAAAATTATCAATTTATGTTACTAGAGTGAATTATAAGAATTAATCCTTGAGTTAATTTCAAAGTTGTAGATGTATTTATGAAAATTGGATTGAGCCATTTATTTTTCAAAAAATAATCATCAAAATATCTATACCTATTGGAAATTCATGTAAATCAAAAAATGACGAGGTACACTCTCCATATATTATCATACAGTTATCCTTTGGTGTTTACCTTCGTTCCGATTTAATAGTTATTAAACTTTCTTGATTCATCAACAAAAGTTAGACTGATGTTGAAAGAGTTTAATAATGTATTCCTTTCGAAATGATAGTTCTTGACCTTTCGACTTTTAAATAGAAATATAACATTGTTCAAATTAATCGTATGTTTTATTTCTTAAACGTTTCTAACCCTAGTTGACTAGACATCTGAACAAATTGCCAAGTGACTATATCTCTGTATTACATAAAACATAATAATATATCGCTAAATGTAGTTTCACAACCTGATGTCTTATACTCTGAAATAAAAAAAATGTGGCAGGTAGATTGTTACTGGTTCATCTTTCTAACTTTAAGTTCCACTTTTAATTTGTGGAACAGATTTTAACTCTGGAATAAAACTGTTAGTTCAAATTTGGGTATTGTGGTCAACTAGCTACTACTAACTTTCATGAATGGGATTTTAGAATACGAGCTTTGATGCTTCAACAAACAGTAAAACTAAGCGTTCTCAAAGTAATAATTTTGTATTACTTTTCTTGTTTAAATTTCTAAATAACAATGAAAGACGAAAAAATCACCTAATAAAACATACTAACGGACAACGAAGTAAAATCATGTTGCAGTTGTTAATAATAATAATGACAACAATGATGCTTCTTCATTGATTGTTATTTCTCACTACTAAAATGAATTGAGTTATTCTGAACCAGAATCTTCTTATTCCATTATGATTATTTTGTAGAATCTTCCAACTAATTCACTAGAACAGTTTTGTATCAATTACACAAATGAAAATTTACAACAATTTTTCAATCATTACATATTTGAATTGGAACAAGAAGAATATCGAGCAGAAAATATTAGTTGGCAATATGTTCAGTTCCCGGATAACCAACCCATTATTGATTTAATAGCTGGTAAACCGAATGGAATAATGCATTTATGCAATGATGAAGCCAGTTTAGTCACAGTAAGTCCACGAAGTATACAATCATTTACTAAATTACTAGTTGAAATCTTCACAATCTTCAATTTTCCTAACCAACTGATTAGACAAAAGATTTGTCTTTTTTTGAAGTACTCTCGTATCACAGTTTTCTATGCACTAAAATTCTGCATAATTGAAATAAAATTTATTTATTTTAATGGCATAATGAAATGGGATTTGTTGCTATTTAATGTAGTGAATTAGAAATGAATAAAAACATTTAGAAATCATGATGAAGCGATTTAAATAATAAATATCTATTTATCTCAGAATATGTCATTGTCGAATATATAATCGTTACGATTTCTGTGAATGGAACATAAACAGTTTTGAAACCTATAAATTGTATAATAATAGTAGTCACAGCATTAGTTGTTTGATATTGAATTCTGTTGTGATTAAAGTTTATTTGGAAACGAGCATACATTTTAGTGGCCCTTTATCTGACTCCAATTAAATCGTATGTATGATTGCTATCGAAATATACATCCCGGCTACCATTGGATATAATCATGGATTTAAATCGCTCAAGTGGATAACGGAATTAAAATAAGTCAAATACGAGAATGAATTTTGAATACGTATGTTTCATACACTCGTTGATCTGAACAGACAATCAGGGAAAAGAATATAAAATAAATTACAGACACGTGATGAATAGGGTAATCAACTAACATACACACGATCATATAAAAAACAGGATTAATAAGCGAATAAGTAGTGACGTGAAAATATGACCTGAGAAGAATAAATAAATTGCTATGTCCAGAAGCTAGAATAATCTATGCTAGCTTGACATAGTACCAGCCACTACAAAATCATTATGGATGATTCTCCTTTATATTTTACCTAAACTGCTATCGGAAGACAATCAATGTTATTTCCTGTATTTGGTGATTGCAAATTAATAACTTGGTATTGGTTGGTGAACTAGATTCATATTTTGAAGTTTTCATATATGGTAGTGGTACTGTCAGGGTACCGAAAAAGACGAATATGGGACGTGGCTGGACCTGGGATCCAAAGTTGATTGTTTTAACTACCAAACCATCTTTCTAGCATATAATTGTCAATAATGACTAGAATTTTATCTAGGATCCTTACAGTTTGTATTACCAGCTATGAAGGCTAAAAAGCATGGCATTAGTTGTTACCTAATAACAGATTACTCTTTTTAATTCATAACTGAAATAATTTAATGATAAGCTATTTAGTAATATTTACAAAATGTTTCAAAGAATCAAAAGCTGAAAGTAATTTTAAGAACTATTTAATCTTGGTCATTGGATTTGTATTATGATGTGTATTTATTACAAAATCTATTTCACTTATTTTTTTCTTAGATTTCTGTGAGATTCAGTTTGTTGTGCTTTAATAGTCAAAGTATTCTACATGTGTTCGATTCTGAAAGAAATAATTCACTTATATTCAATAATAATGAACTTTCCAATACATTTTTGTTCTCCAAACGATATCATATAGTGATTAAGCATTGAAAAATTAGGTTAATATAAAAAAGTCCTTCCGTTTGAGTAAATTAAGGCTGAAGTTAAGACGAAAACGAACGCAAAAATATATCTATTGAAAATCAAATTTAAAACAAATACATCCAGCAGGTAATTATTGTATTGTTCTAAAAAAATGTACAAACGTTTTCATGATAATGTAGAGCTTTATAATTCGTATACGATAATGGTTAATAACTGCGACATATCTCATAAACACACAGTTGTTCCTGTTTAAGTCCCTTGGATACGGAGTTATCAACAAGAAAGCTAAATAAGGTTTTTTATAGTTGAATTTCTCATGTGTTCAAAATGCTTCAAGTAAGTGGACATTTTTGATTTTCATGCTATTGTTTTTTAGAAAACTAGTTCCATTTTGTCATTTGAGTACTTATGTAAAAATCTGTGGGCATCAATACAAATATACTCTCTACAGTATTTTTGCTTACGCATACAGTGGTATGTGATAGCATGAATATAAATCCTTCTGATACACATATTGTTTGGAACCAAGGAATTTATGAAATTGAAACTGTTAATTATCTGTTAGATTAATTTATGATATTCTTATTGCATAGCAATTCAACTGAAGTTCAAAAATTTCTATTTTCTACTTTTTTATTAAAGGGGACAGATAAGTCGTTTCTACGACAATGTCAATATCATCATAAGAATCATCCAAATTTTAAAATGAATAAGATACAAGGAAATAATTCGTTTACTATTGCACATTTCGCTGGTGAAATTGTTTATGATGTGAGTAAAATGACTATTGTGGCAAATTCCTTCATTGATCAGTTGATTATCAAAATGTCCTGTTTTTTCGTTTAAATACAAGTCAGATTCGCTTGGTATTTACATGTCGAGATCTATATATCACTAGAAGCTACTTTAAATAAGTAATCATGTTCAGGAAAACGTGTTTATAAAAACGGCTTACAATAGAATTTCATCAGTTTTCGTCTTATAATCTCATCAACTAACTATTAATTTAAACCGAAATTTGACTGGTTGTACAATGGGGTTTTTAACTTCCCTTAATTTAATCCATTTTTACCCTGCTAACTGTCCGGTAAATATTTATATTTGTGAACTTCCATATATTTGTAATACTGTGACTATTTCAAAGATTTGATTCACGAATCAGTTCCAGTTAATGAGTTACTTGATCAACATGTTATACTTCAGAATGGCAAGCATAATTCGATTCATTGATTCAGTCCTCTTGAATTGTATGATGGTCTTAGAGTCCGTTATGTCTATGCTTTATTGCCTAAGAGATTTTAGGTTATTTGAAAATTTTGATATGAAACTTAAAAATTGTTTAGTAATCGATAGTTTTTCGATCATTTTCTATTAATGTATGTTTATTTAAACCACGAAGTGAAAAAAATTAGTTGTAGAACTTCCTTTATTTAGTTGACATTTACTAAAAGTAGCAGGAGAATAAATGTTCCAGATATTTCTTAAAAGAAAAACCAGTGAAAACTTAAAATACCAAGAGTCTTTGAATATGATTCTACATAATAAGTTGTCTTCAAACTCAATTCTATCGATAAGTTTTATTTCTACTGTTTAGTAATATATCGAATATCTAAAACTACTGTACTTATTGTTACTAACAGTGCTTAATTACTAAAAAATATAAATTAAAAAGAAATCAATAAATATAAATCTACAAATTTATTGTAGGTAAATGGATTTGTCGATAAAAATCGTGAGAAAATTCGTGGTGAACTGCTTGCTTTACTAACTAAAAGTAAAAATTCTGCAGTAGCGACTATGTTTCGTAATGTTCAAGCTCAACGTACTGGTGTCAGTGGTACAGGTCCAAAATTGAAAACCTCTTTAGTTTTAACAACAATGAATAATTCACTGCAACAGTTAATGGAGAAAATGAGAATGTAAGTATCGGTGTTCAGTTTTCTTGTAGCCACAAAGTTATATTTTAATATTATTTTAATTTTAAGATTTTTGCTTTTTTTTCCCCAAAAATGGGTCTATCACACATTATGAAAATAGGACCAGATATCAAATGCTCCAGACATTTTATTAACCAAACTAAAAGACAGGAATCGGATCAGTTGTAGTTGTTTTATGTTAATTGACTAATAAAATATTTTTATTTTTTAATAGCATTAAAAGATACTGAAAACCATAATAGTTAATTTAGAAATATAATAACGTTTATTATGTATGGTGTTGGTAAAATGGGCATAAACTGTCTTTTGTTTTTCATGAATTATTTTCATTAATTTTTTGCTGACTATCTGCTATTTATTCGATTATCTAAAACTACTTTGAAATTGATTGTTGTTAGCAACAGAGAATTGTGTAACTGTTTGATTGATTTGGTGAATCTACAATAGGGAACTAAATAATATTTTTTTTAAAAACCACATGTATTCTCTTTTAGTTAATTGCTTATAGACTACAGTTAATTTACATTTAGAAGCCATTCAGCTTCTAAAGTGATGAAAGTCATATACTATGGGAATACGGAAAATTCCTGTGTTTCATTTCAAAATTATGTGACTTGGATGACTGTGATTTAAAAATTATCGCCGAATGAATAGAAAGGAAAAAAACGGATAGTTTTCTATATCCCCTGAGACAATAAGATATTTTTTATGTTTTTACTATTTCTATTGCTGATACATGTTTTCATACAGAACGGATTGTAAGCATACATATGAATATATGAAAACTGTCCATTCATAATTAAAGACAGTTTTATATTTATTTGTTGTTTGTTCGTTCATCCATTGTTTACTTATTCCCCTTTTACCTTTTAATCAAATAATTATATTAAGGAATAAGCCAAGTTTTGTACGTTGTATTAAACCGAATATGAAAAAAGAGCCAATGGTATTTGATGATGCTGTTGTTATGGATCAATTACGTTACGGTGGTTTACTAGAAACTGTTCGAATAAGAAAATCTGGTTTCCCTGTCCGTATCAGTTATGAATATTTTATCGAGCGGTACGTATGTCACGAACATGACATGTAACTGTATCTCGATTCTTAACGTTTTATACTTTTCAGGATTTTATTATTCTACAGCTTGGGTTCATATAATAAACGTATAATTGATTTTTGCACACTGGGTTTGTGTTTAGTTTGGCATCTACAGAAATAATGATCATATTACGTCATGTATTTTACCTCATACTGTTTCACATTGCCAACTTATGTCTTGCGCACTTGTCGATTATCACGTGACAAGATTGTTTATCAGAATAACATGTCAACCGGCACTAGCAGCCTTACGTCTACTCTGGATCCTTGCTGGTCCTCAAAATAGTAACTTCTAGACTAGCCCTGCCTGTTGAGTCCAGAACTTAAACTCAACCTCCACTGTATGAATAATATATTTCAGACATGTTTTTTATATACAAGCAAACCAGACCGCATCGCACCGTAAAATAAAACAATAGCATTTATACAACACTAACAACTCATTTAAATTCCCCTGATCAATGAAACATTACTTCCTTTTTCGCTATCATGGAATAATAATTAGTTGAACGTTTTAACTAAAACGTATATTTCGCGAATTGTCCTTTTGTGGGTCATTTCGGTTGGGATGGTGGAGATTTTATAGCTCAGGTGGGTGATTTTGATGAAGTTTTTGTTCTCTGAGCTGGCTGGTTTGGTCGTGGAGCTTTCATCGTTCTTCTGAACGACATCATCAGCACAAACTTCAGATAGAAGTGAAGTGTTCGAATTTCTCCATATGCGTTTCACAGCTTGTTCTGTACAACTCGATGTTGATTGGTTCTTATTGACCTTAAATTTGTCATTGTTTACTTCCTTGTTTTGGTTGTGTCTCCTATTGTTTTGATTTTTGCTCCTATGTTTGTGCATAATTTTCCTCATTTGTTGATAAATTGGGTCGATTTCAGTGTGCTTGTTGATTGGTGATTGACCAAAGTACCAGGCTTTTATAAATTTTCTGGTGTTTTTGGAATTTTCTCTGTCTAAGATTTCCACATATTTCCAACCGAATGAGTGTTCGCAATTGTCCATGTGCATTGATATAAGTGAGGAAATATCATGGCGTTTGACTGCTAATTGATGTTCATGTAGACGAAGGTGAAGGGGGCGTCCGCTTTGTCCGATGTAGTGTTTTTCGCAGTTGGTACGATTTATTTTGTAGATGATGTTTGATTTGTCTTCCTTTGTTATTTCATCCTTTGGTTTGCATAGGATTGATTGTAGTGATTTTGTTGGTTTGTGTGCCACACTTATCCCGAAGGTTTTCAGCAGTCTCGTTGCGGTTTCTAATATGCCTTTTATGTATGGTAGGGCGATCAACAAAAGGATCATTTTGGTTGCTTGTGCCGCTTATGATGTGAGCTCTATTTTGTTCACCTCTCAGACGGTGATTACACTGCTAAGAAAATCCACTGAGTTTTCCTGTAGCTATGAAATATGACCTGTCAAAGAAACTTTTCTTGCCAGTTTGAGGTGGCGGAGATTGTTGAATTTCATTGAAATCATGTTTTGACCTAAGATCACCACTGAAAACCTAGAAGCAATGGACGCCCTTTTCGTTCTCGTGTGGGACGTTTGTGGATTGCAAGTATATAATCATACACCGAAGTATAAGTAGTGTAATATAGAGTCGTCAAATAGGTATCACTTAAGTAAGGAATAAGATCTCAAATTTCTATAGTAACTTGATTTATGAGGGTGAGAAACGACATCAGTATATGTATCTGTAGCATGTGTTGCCAGTAACTAACTACTTATTACTCCAAATAGCGACTCAGAATGCTACGGACTAGTGCCTGACCCTGCGTTTTATGTGATCAAAGATTAATGTTTAGATTTGATGAAATCTATGTTTAAGTTTTTTGTCAGTTTTACAATCAAATTGACGTGTTATTTATCGTACAATTAGAAATTGGGTAAATAGTATAAATGCGTTAAAGTTTTTAATCGTACCTATATTTTGAAACAAAAACTATCATGATAGTTTTCTTCTTAGCTAACTGAATAATCGCAATCGTCAATTGAATACAAATGAAACATGTTTCTCATATTTTCAAAATTATATCCTCTAGAAATTCAAATGAATATCTTTTTAAAGACAATAGTCAACAGTGGAAATATGTATGAAAAACTGTTTACATATTTAGCTAGTTTCTTTGTTCAGTAAAATATGGTCTTATCAGTAATTAAATTATTTATCAACCATAATGGATGTTTTTAATTGTTAATTAATAACTATTACTGTTCTTTTAAATAGTTACTTGTTAATCTGCGTTGTTTTCTTAATTTTTTTTCCATGGAATTTTTCCTGATGCTTTAGTTATTCATTTTTACTGAATTATGAAAAACGTAAACAATTAAAGAATATAGTAGATACTCGTGAATCAACAGCTTGGATATTAATGAATATCAATATTCCTTTTGGAAATCGAACACCTATACAAAAATGTGTTGACTATGAATTTGGTAAAAGTAAATTATTTCTACGAAATCAATTAGCTGTGAATTTGGAATCGCTTCGTACAATTAAAGAGTTATGTGCTGCCAGAACTATTCAACGAGCATGGAGACGACGTGATAATGGATTGATTGAAAGAGCACGTCGTAATGCAGCTAGAGTTATTCAAGCATGGTATAGAGGATGTATGACAAGGTGAGATATGTATTACAAAAAATAAAAGTGGTTTCTTATTTCAGAATGTTACATAAACGAAAACTTTATTATGAGCAAAAGCTATAAATCAAGTATTTTGAAGATGTTTGCCACTTTGATTAGAGTAAATCCAACTTTGTTTTGGCCAAGTGGTTTAGCTGTAAACATGGTTAACAATATTGTTTATCTTATAACGACTATCATTCGTTTTCACCGTACCTACCTGTTTTCAGGTCGTTAGGCGATACATATTAAACATTATCTTATCTCATACGGTTATATTTGTTAAGTACTCGGAAGTATCTCTTGATTTAACATATTAACATGATTTCACGGTTTTTATATTTACCAATACTAATAGAATAACGTAGTTGTTGGAAATAGTATTGTTTTTTTGTTATAAAATAACCGTTTTATTATGTAAGCAGGTCTCTTGTGAAAGATCTGGTTCCTATACTTACAAAAATGATTGAAATTCACCCATTCTCTTTTGATGTATTAATTTGTAAGTGGAGTAAAGCGATTTGGTTTACAAGTTTTTATATTACTAGTGGCAAAAACCAACATAATGGCAAATATCAAATAAACTTCATCATTTGACACTAGTTGCAAATTATTATTCGTTTATTGTACTAGTAAAGTTAATGATTTGTAAGAATTATCATGTTTAGTTCATTTCTCCTATAACCTTGAAAAAATAGTGTTATAAAATAATGTATTTTATTGTTTATAATACTCTGTAACTAAGCCACAACAATACTCTACATTATGTAACTAGTACACTTTGAAATCGATAAATCATGTTGTTTGAATGCTTCTTGTTGTACTTAGTCGTCGCCCGTTGTTGTGTCAGAAGCGCTTATCACTTATACTCGGAACGGGGGACCTCCTCTATTCCCATGATGCGAAAGTAAGAACACAAAGACTAGTATAAGTAAAAATTTATTAACTCTCAAGACACGACATTGACGACCCTAGTCGTTAATACACTCATTTATATATTGATTGTACACATACTTTGATTAATAATTAGAATGAAATCACATATATAAAAAATACTCAGTTATGACAAATCATATGCTGAGCATGGTTCATGTCAATTGAATACACAAATATTGTATGTTATACAGAATAAGATATCATACGAGAAAAGGAAACAAATACTACATTGAGTAATCATTACATTGAATCATAACGGAAGTAATGTTGAACAAAACTCATTATCAGTAGATCAATCAAATTTTGACTTTTCTTTCCATCATATCAGAAATAGTTAACTACTGTATTATTTTTAAAAAAATTTCAAATTTGTTTTAGGGATACTGTAGAAATTTATTTTTAATATCCTAGTTTCTGTTATATCAGTATTTAGCTGATATGAAATAAATATACAGAATGAGTATCCCAAGATCAGTTTTCACACAAATTCCAAAAATCTTGTCCATATGATGTTGATCTAGTTTGATTGGTTGAAATACTTTGTAAGTTGTTCGTTTACTTCTTGGTATTATTAAACCGTTTGAGATGCAGTTATTTAGATTTGAGTGATCTCATAAAAAGGATGATTTGACGAGATTGTGAAAGCTGATGTTGTGATGTGCAGGATTGATCAACACTTGACCGTTTGGTGATCGAACCATTAGTTCATGCACATCAACCACTCCATTATCCTACAAATATGGATTGAATCATCTCAAAAAGATATTAATTCTCATGATAGACTGATATCGTATTTAACAACGCTGAGGTTGGACTTATTAGTCCCAAATAAATTGAACATTGAGTAGAAAGTAAATATATTTTTTGGTATATCCCAATAAGTATTTCTGACGTTTCGTGACTTAATGTAAGCCACTTCTTCAGAGTGTATGAACAACCGAAATAAATTAACACAAGTCTAGTCAGTTTGTACTATTTGAACTTTTAATTTATTTCGTTTATTTTTTCAATCTGAAGAAGTCGCTTAAATTAAGTCACGAAACGTCAGAAATACAATTTTCTACTCATTGAGACATGACAAAAAATATATTTATTATTGGTATCATATGGTTCATAATTAAAAACTAGGGAGCAGTCGACGACCGTTTCGCTTTTATTTGGTAAACTCTTCAAAATATTTGACTTCTTGTAAGTTGATTGTTGAATGATTCGATACTATGTGGAAGAAGCTGTCCAGTACTTTGTCGTTTTCGTTAATACTAGACTGTTGTTTATGTTTCATCATCATATGCGTTTGAGTGATATAAACTAATTCATTGTCGCCGAAAAATCACCTTAATGTCGTTGATCTATCATGCTATGGAAAGAAGTAGGTTTTTTATTCACTTATCATGTGTACACTACTACATAGGTTAATTTGAAATTCCTCAACTATGAGATCGGTTTTGAACTAAACAATTACGAAATTTCAGTGAGTTGTTAAAACTATACTCAACCAACATTTGAAAAAACAAAATAAATTATTCATAAATAATATGCCTAATGTTATATAATTTTTTTCTCAAGTGGACGAGTCACTGACTGCTTTTCTAAACTCAGTTATCACACTTTCACTCGTATGAAATTTGGTTCTCTGTGAAAAGTAGTACTCAGTAAATGGAGAAAAAATATATATTCATAGTAAATACGCAATACTGATTTTTATTGTTTATAGTTGACTTTTGCTTGAAAGATCGATTTCAATCAATGATCATCCAATTTCTAGACCTGAAAAATTCTTTGGTAGTTTTAAAAACAATCTATTCTCTTTTTCATTAATCAATAAAGCGAAATACAATGGAAACTCGTGTTACTGTAGTCGTAAAATTACATACAGTAAATATGTGTGCACTCCCACACACATGAATATGTATCAATTGATCAATAGGCATGAAAATCATAACTATTATAATGTGCAGTAGAGATGTTGGTAAACGTTTTGTTTACATAAAATTTAGGAATGTATCTTCGTGTTTTACTTTACCTGATACTATGAGTAGATGAAAAAGTTTTTATTAACCATTAAAACGTTATCTAGGTGAAGTCAAAAAAGCATAACACAAACAGACAAATAGTTTGCGAACGACATTTGTGTGTTTGTTTAAACAGAAAAATAATAATAACCTCTCTCTCTCTCTCTCTCTCTCTCTATATATATATATATATATATATATATATATATATATATATATATATATATATATATATATATTCATTTATTTATTTATTCAACATTACACAAAACACCTTAATTGCAAATGATGTATCTATTTTCAAAGCAACTTTAAATTATTAAAAGATGGTGAAACTTAGTGGCAAAGATAATATTCAACTCTGGATCTCTCTTTAGAAGTTCAGTCTTTTTATGATTCAGTACTAACACGTAAAGAGATTTTCACGAAATATATTTGCATGATTTATCCTTTTCTTACTTACTTGTTGACAAAAAGAAGAATTATCTCACTCATTTGTCTTGGTTTCGTTCATAGTAGCACAATAAGTATCTTTCGTTACTTATCTTATAACATTTCAATACGTTTCATTCGTTGACATTTTTTCTCAAATTAAGCCTTCTTCCTTTTAAAGCCATCAAGAGTGATTTTACATCATTAGATCGTCCCTTTTTTCAGCATCGTATGTTCTAACTAACCTCCAAGGTCATCGGGGATAATAAATTTTGATCACTGAAAAATCCCCATTATATTGAAATACAACTGTATGAACGATGAATATTCTTTTCAATATTTTCTCATCAGGTTCTACACTTATAAATCCAAATTAATAATCCATAAAATTGGCCAGATTTAAGGCAGAGTACATCCTTTGGAAATTGTAATATGTGAATTAAGAATTGTTGTTTGCTATCAAATCAGATCGTTAATGTTAGGGCTGACTAATATGAAGTTGCTAACTTGAATCAGTTTATAAGTGAAATGAAATTGTGCGATAAATGATCAGAATAAATATGGTCAACATGGGGTGAGAGAGGAAATAATGAAATAAAAATCGGAAATTAAGTAATATGTAGGATAATATGAATTAGGTCAGATATAGTAGATTTAGGGGTGGATATTGAATAAATTCCTCAAAAAGATTATCAAGTGTAATGATAATAACAATAACAATGATAAAGATGATAATCACAGTGGTAAAGATAATAATAATAAGTTTGGGACATAAAATGAGCATTGATCAAATTTATGCCACCATATTATAAAATTGATTATTAACTAGTTGGTGTCAAAGTTGGCCAGGGTAAAAGGAGTTACTTACTTACGCCTGTTACTCCTCGTGAAGGAGCATAGGCCGCTCACCAGCATTCTCCATCCAACCCTGTCCTGGGCAATCCTTTCCAGCTCCTTCCAGTTGTTATTCATCTTTTTCATATCTGCTTCTATTTCCCGACGTAATGTGTTATTTAGCCTTCCTCTTTTCCGCTTCCCTTCAGGATTCCAAGTTAGGGCTTGCCTCGTGATGCAATTTGACGATTTGCGTAATGTATGTCCTATCCATTTCCATCGTCTTTTCCTAATTTCTTCTTCATCTGGAAGCTGGTTTGTTCTCTCCCAGAGAAGGCTGTTGCTGATGGTATCCGGCCAATGGATGTTGAGTATCTTGCGTAGACAGCTATTTATAAATACTTGTACATGTTTGATGATGGTTGTTGTTGTAGTTCTCCAAGTTTCAGCTCCGTACAGTAGAACTGACTGCCTTGACGTTCGTATCGAAGATTCTCACTTTGATAATGGTTGAAAGTTGTTTTGAGTTCCATATGTTCTTCAATTGTAGGAATGCGGACGTTTCTTTGCCAGTTCTCGCCTTTACGTCTGCATCTGAACCTCATTGTTCATCGATGATGCTTCCCAGGTATGTGAAGGATTCTACATCTTCCAGAGTTTTTCCATCAAGAGTGATTGGATTGCTGTTCTTCGTTTTGCATTTGAGGACCTTGGTTTTCTCCTTGTGTATGCTGAGGCCTACCGATACAGAGACTGCTGCTACACTGGCTGTCTTTATCTGAA